ACTACATCAAAACCGTCAACGAGAAAATCAGATGAAATGCAAAACACCGTGAACAACAACATCGACACAAACAACAACACCCACGTCATCAACAAGAAACTCACCAAAATCAACACCCTCACCAACAACATCACCCACTCCAAAATACACACAAACACCAATTCTAACCTTACAAACTATCGTCCTAATCCAACACTCAATCCGTTCCAGTTGCCGAATCCACCGTGATCACGACCACGATCACACCCACCGACAGCACCGCCACCGACAGCACCACCTCCGACACTACGGGTACAATTGAAACTGAAGCCACTCCAAGCACCAGTAAGTACTCGTTTGTCACATAAAGCTGCTCGCCTGTCGCCCGTACCGCATGGCATAAAGCATGGAAATGTGGAGAATCTCAATATGTGAGATTGCAATCCTTCCTCTTACAATATACCTCGTCTCAAATGGGAATATTTATGTCGTCACGGGGAACTCACCTTCAACTTCATCCACCAAACTGTTGACACAAACAACAAATTTAACTTTGAAATCTCTCGTCCTAATACAACCCTTAACTCTTCTTTTCGGAGAATCGACCACGACCAAGATCACACCGACTAACGCAAACTTCTCTGAGAATACCAATACAACCGCAAGTAAACCACTCCAAGCACCAGTAAGTATATTTAAATCGCAATCAATATGTTCACACCACCAACTCACAATCAAAGTTTCACCCAACAGTTCGCAATACACCATAACACAAAATAACATCATTACACAGCACAACAACAGCAACAATAACAACAGAACACAACAGAACACTGCACAGCACAACATAACGTGAGACAACCCAACAGCACACTGCACATCAATACAAACCAGTTCAATACAACCCCGCATAACAGCACAGCAAAGCACCACACGCCACACCACACAACGTCACATCACATCACACAAAATATAACACAACCTGAGCAAATCTAACGCAAGACTTCATAACTCAACTCAACAAAACAAAACACGGCACAGCAAAACAATTCAGTACAATCCAGATTCGATTTCAACACAATTCGGCACAACACTACGCTACGCAGCGTAGCACAAAATTAGAATCACAACAAAAGAGTACACAATACAACACAGATGAAACAGCAGCAAACACAACAAAACATAACGCACAAATGGGGATCTGGCGAACGAGATGATGATGAACTCAGCTGAACTCACCCGAGAGATCCAGTAAACGGCAGGATAAACTGCATGACATTTTTTTGATTTTAGTTAGTGCTGGGTTACCAAGACGTTCGCATGTCTTTTTTTAATTGATGATGATGTCTGATACCGTCTACAAATGGAGAATGACAGTTCTGCTCACAATACGTACGGATGCATATTTTCTTTAGTTAGCGTGTAGGAATTCGTGAGCAGAAAGAACAACTCGATCGTTAAGGAACTTGGGATTGGAAAACCTAGCTCGCAAATGACTCTAGGATGCCTGCCTTAGCTCGCGGTGAAACCGCTCCTCTTTGTTTTCCGTGCAGCAACATATGCTGCAATGATGGTCACCAGATTTTTATCACGTTGAAGTGAGCCTGTCGTTACTATGACAGACAGTTCGTTTCAGAATTTCATTCTGCATCACTGGGTGGACAGCACTGCCGGGACAGGTATCTTTTATCATGTACGCATCCTGCCTCAAATTCAATAGGTGTCGGTATTCATCTGTAATAATCTGCAGTATAATATCTTGATTCTGCTTAGCCTTGTTCAGAATTATTGTTCTTATTTCTGCGTCTTGGAAAGACTGCAACTCTCATAGAAATATAGAATAGGAATTCAATCTCTTCGGAGTTTGAACAGTTTTCACTCTTTGTTGACCGTGCCCGCAAGCGTAACCTAAGCTTCAACATTTTTGTTTAACTCACTATTTTGGTATCGAAGACTGAACAAGAAAGTACGTTCATCAAGCGTTGAACATAAAACCGAAGTGGATAACATCAAACGTGAGCTCACATGGTTTTCCGGATAAATAGTAGTTCATAAAGCGTACATGTTCGAAAACTACAATTTTCCTGGCCAGTTGTCCTGCTTTCCAGGAATCTTCTCTATTTCTTGGATCCATTCTTCATTTTTTGCTGAACCAGTAATCAGAAGTAATGCATGATATCGGATCCAACTGGGTTTCAGGAATCTCATAGAACCTTGTGTGGGTCAATGAATCGGTTGGCTCAGAAGTCTGGATAAACGGCTTCTCCAGTGAGAGTTGTTCAGTCAGTGTGTCGATGAACCTCAACTGCGCCAGCATAAGCGTTTTCTGCTGCTGTTTCAAAAGAGACTGCATTTGTTCAAATGAAAACGTCAGTGTTGTAACATGAGAACACCCACCGATTGCGCCTGAATTGGGCCTGCCAGACTACGCCCTAAGGACAAGATAGAAGACAAACTGACGGCCATACTGTTTATCCAACCTACAGAGCTGGCGCGTAAATATGTTGGACTGCGGACTGACTAAATCTGATCACTTGCTTCTCGTTCTTTTCCAGTCAATGATGATGTTCCTGCCTTAACCATTTTCACACGCTCCGCTGGTCACCTGTGGCTGTGCATGTTCGGCAAGCCCCACCCTCGCACCTGCTATCCGGATGATGTAGTAACTGATACTGACCTTTGTGACTCGTCGTTGTCGGAATGGATACGTTTTGCTGTGAACGCATCCTAAAAGACCTGCAATAAACTGTCGAACGCTCTTTGCCTGTGAACCCAGCGCACGTCGGTCGAATCTGTGAATTACCTTTGTGAGGCTCATTCGTGAGACACTTCACAACCGGCCAAGCATATTTATCGTGAAAACACATATAGCATTCTACCTCTTTCGTGCCTATTTTGGCCTCATTGCGACCCTTGCTATCTCCAAGAAGATCTTTCAATAAGAACCTCAGTTATTGCGCATGAGTACTTGGTGACATCTGCACATAAATATACATAAATCACAAAAATTTTCAGCAAACAAGTTAATTTCATAACCAGTGCGCACGTTTTCTATCAAATTATGGCGCAGTATTCATATGTACTCAAGAAATGTGTGCAGCTCTTGGCTCCGTGACGTCATATGCCTATGCGCTACGGAAATTAGACGTAAACATTTGTTTATCTAAGATTAACTGTCTCTCAGGAACTACCATAATCACCTTGAAAACTTGGAGAATCACATTCACCACGATTAAATGCATGAAAATTATGAGTGTCTTATTCACATACAGCACTTAAAGTTGTGTAGGCTTAATACAGGATGCAAATCCATTCCCTTTCATATGCTGTCGTTAGACGAATTTTCCTAATATGCGTACCGGGAGTACCCTAAAAGTTGTCTTGCGCGTTCCACACAACTATCATGTAGTACAAGCCGAATTTGTAAGAACGACGCATCGAGTATCTAGTGAAGCTCCTCACTGTTTTCCATCAGTCTTCTTTTTCAAAATAGTCTGTAACGACCACCGCCACATGTAGAATCTTTCGGACCTCTTTTAAACTCGCATTTTTTCAAGCTTGAAAAGTTTTTCTCGTCTGTTACGTTACTGCACATTCCGTCATGGAGCACATCGTCATCGCTTGATGTTGGACGCGTCCCTACATGTTAAACTATTTCACATTTGCTTCATGGACCATCGACTTCTCTTATAAGTACAATCCTTGGTCGGTCCCACACCAATCATCACCTTACAGCATTCTTCCCCAGGATCCCAGGTATACTCTTATTCTTCCTTCACTGAAATTCTTATGAGATCTTGTGATTTTCTGAGGTTAGGTTAACTGTAAAACAGCGTACGATGCAATGAGATCATTTTGATTTTCCAGTGTCCATATTTATGTAGAACTGCATTGTCTCTTGCCACGGGTTGCTCTCGTCAGGAAGCAACTATACACTGGGGACTTCATTCTCAGTACACACGTGGAAACCTGTTTTGTTCATTTGATGAACTCGGCTCCAGCAGAACAATCTGGATGTAAATGTGATCCATATGGAGAGCTCTTCTAAAGTAGCAGCTATTCCGCGTACTCTGTGAACTGATAATGCCTATCTCCTTAGGCGACCAACATAGGGCTTCACCATATTCTGAAGGTGATCTATTGTGCACAAAAGATTCAAGCTCGTTCGGTGTTCAGTCCAGAAAAATGGAGTAACAAACTTCTTCTGTCCTTGCGTTTACAGTTTTCCCATTAAATCGGTTTTATTTTTCCATTTGTAGCACCACATCCGACAAAATCAAGTGAGTTAGAAAAATGTGATTTGAAAACACGTTGTCGTGCCTCCTTTTGTTTGTTGACCAGCCCCACAGCCGATCGGCCACTTACACTAATCAATATAAGCTACAAACGCTTTGACATACTGTTTGCCGTGACACCTTTGAGGCACGCCTCCAACAATGAGTTCAGATAAGACTCAGGATTAGAAGTCGGTTGAAACACGCAACACTTTTTATATGCACATCACTGGCCCAGCAACCAATAGGTATAATTTATCGAATTGTCGGTTGAACAGCCAGGTAGAAATAGCATAAAGATCCGCATTCCTCACAGTCAAGGCAAAACGATTTGTGACGCCCATAACGATGCTGTTCGTGATACTAACTAGGTGGATGACAACGACGATTATTGTTATTGCGGATGTGTTGTTCATAACTTTCATGGGACGTCAGAGAGATAGATTGGAGGAAGGGGTTGACGATCCCGAATAACGAAATCAACAATTGGGTTACAAAGTCTACGGTACTAATTACACAAAAGTAAGCCGAATTATATACAAAAGCTTAAATGCCCAGGTTCGTGGCACAACATTTGCTCAAGTCTGTCATTGATCTGCACAGCTCGATATCACGGTCATCAAACCGGACACCGAAGTGCAGAATGTTAGCTCGATAGTCTGGGTTGTGGTCAACTCTTGCAAAGCCAGTCTCGCGATTCGAACTGGCTTTGCGATCACACGGAATCCAGGACAGAACTGGTCAGGTGGTGGTAGACGGGGCACGAACACGCGTGGATAAGTAGGTTAGCTACGCAAATTCACCCGTACGCGCATGCCAGTATCCCAATCTCGGGTGGGGCGGGCTTTGCGGAAAGGTGAATGGCAAGTATGGATGAGCGAAAATGTGGAGATCAAAAGTAAACGGACGAACTAAGCAAACGAATGGGAGAAATATCACGATGCCACTTTAGATTTAACAACGGTCTTGATTTAAATTTCTTGATTAGGGACCGTGAGTGCAATTTTCCCAGTCTCTATATACTACAAGCTATCAGTACATCTCACACTGTCAAACTGTTTTTAGCCACAACTTCATGCGATTTCACTGGATGTAAGTTTGAAAAAATGAGATTGAATGGCTGTACTGTCCGAAAATTTCTCGTAAATACTACAAGCTATCAGTACATCTCACACTCTCAAACTGTTTTTAGCCACAACTTCATGTGACTTCACTGGATGTAAGTTTGAAAAACTGAGATTGAATGGCTGTACTGTCTGAAAATTTCTCCCCAAATTGAAACGTTTCGTGCATTTAACTTGTGACTGCGAATAATATGCAAGACTTTACGTTAGATTAGGAGGTGTAAAGACCAAACATTTTTATTTCAAGCTTTCAATTATTGTTAAGCACGATGCTGGTATCCGATACCGCCATATCTTGCATCACGTACAAGGAATTTGAAGCCAACCAGTACTTCAAATGAGGAGCATCCAAGGAATTTCAAGGGAAATTTCTATCTCCAATCTTCTGAATAGTTCAGTTAGCCATCCTCAGAAATTATACTTCAAGATCTAAAAAGTTAACTGGTTTTTGTCAAATTATCACGAATAGTCCAATAGAACAATCCTCCAAGGAATCTGTCATTCGCACCATTGTCGTTCGCAGCAGTTCACAAGTAATACGTACTGATGCTTGACTGCTACAGCTGTTGAGCGTTTGTCCAGTGGGCGCAGTCCTACTGTGCCAGAAATCAGTGTACAGCTGTTTCATGTTTGTTATGAATAATGAGCAGTGCGCAACTTACGCAGCTCGAGAGGGATTCGACTCCCGACTAGTTCATGAAGGCCAAACATTTCGGCTGCTAGCGGCTGATAAACGGCGTGACTAAGCGCATTCAGACAGGACGCACCACATCTAAGCTTCCAATCAAGGAATCCACATCTAATCACGTGCTGACTGTCTCCTCGGGTGATGACTTTTCACATGGGAGTTTCACAAACTGGGCGAATTCCATTCGTCTTCCGAGCTACTCAGGACTTATTGACAATGTTGGGGGGGATTTAGGAATTTACTGGAGATTTCTTCCTGTTATTGGAGGTATTCTATGCTGAAAAGCCAGAAAACACTGCAAAACTGTTCCATTTTTATTTGGTAAAGCAGTAAAACACATTTCACGGAACTTGCTATCAGTGACTGAACAATTAACCGTTTCGTCACGATGAGCTGAGAACCAGTAGTTCGACTTTTAGTCAGAGGTGGTTGTGGGATTTGTAGAATTCGCACACATTTTACCTTTTCTGCAGCTATTGTTCTGATGAGTCCACACCAAATTAAGGTAGCACCTGACTAGAGTTTTGATCTGCTTAAGTCTCAACAGTGGTGCATTTCCTGGGTCTGGCCAGGTTTCGAACTCACCGCGAGGCAAGCGTGCTACTGCTACTCTGACAGCACCTGCTATACGCGTATGAATTTCCATTTCTCAACAGGGGAACGTGTAAACTTTTGACCCGACTGCTCAGACGACAACCCAGTAACTGTCCTGTTTTGTTGATAGATTTTCGTAAACATGTTCAGTTGTTGGTGGCTACCGGATTTTGTAGAATGCACACTCACATGGCTCTCGTTTGAGCAATCGTCCTCCTGTCCTGGCGCAATCGTTCTGGTGAGTCCACACCAAATGGGGAGAAGCACTGGACTCAAGTTTCATTCCTAGTAGAGCGCATCAGCAGTGCATATCCGATGGCCGTACTGGGAATTGAATTCCGCACCTCTGACATACGGGGTGAGAATGTTACATTTTCACCTGTTAGACGTGAAAATTCAGATGCATCCAGCTTGCACTAATGACGATGTCGTAAAGCGCTCCCTCGTCGCACGTCAAACGCGTGAATTTCAAATTTCAGCACAGCCAAGGATATGCACGAGAGCGAAAGTTGACTCTAATGCTTCCACCATTTGGTGCAGTCTTACTAGAACGGTCGAGTGAAGATAGGAGGACAATTGTTCAACTAAGGTTGAAGTAAGCGTGAATTTTTTATTTGGATTTAAAGGAGCTAAAATTGGAACACCTGAACGTTAATCCGCCTGAGAAAATCCGAGCCACGATAGGCCTAAAACTTATCAGGTTGACCATTTACTTTGGAGAGTTTCCTTCTCCCCTCTTCCGAACTCTCTCAGCTCTCTTGATTACTTTCTGAACCTCGGTCTCACGGGATCAGGCAATCAGTAAACGGTAACCTGGACGTCCCTTGTTTTGTGCTGGGCAGTGCGTTATCCCGATTTCAGTGTTGCTTGTTGATAATGACCAGAGCCGACCGAGTAAAATCTGTTCGATAGATATGTGAGACCTAGGACGTGTCTGGTCAGCCGGTAAAACTGGCCGCAAATATGCAGTTCCGTGGGCCACTATAAATTAAGTGTGTCCTGACAGCAAGCTGGCTAAGTGCAACCAAAACGCTGTCTCTGAATAGCTGAGAGTCGCAAAACATTATTTTGGTTGAATTGTATATTAATCAAGCAATGAGAGAAAGTTATCGCTCCTATCTAGTCGACGTTGGATTCGTCATCCCTCAGTCACCCGAAAGCAAAGTGTCCGACAACAACCGAAGACACGGACGTGACACGAATCAGCTGAAAAATCGTTGAGTAAATCAAACACGAGCGACTTGTCTTGTAGAAGGGAGCCACTCTCAAAAATTTCCCAAAGAGAAAGGTTTAAATGCAGGATAAATTTTTATTGAAAACATCAGGCCGAAGCTCGAACAGCCATCTTTTTGAGGTAGTCTTTTGAATGAATCTTGCAAATATATCTAATCAGTCGAGTGCACCTGCTCAGTTCTTCCCAAAGCCCATTTATTTACTTGACATTTTAGGTCCTGACGGAAATATTATTGAAATCGGCAAAGTTCACTCATGGTCCTCCGTTTGGGTCAAGATCACGAATTGGTTCCGAGGGTAACACGGAAACTGAACTTGATGTAATATTTGGTGATTCATCAGATCTCTTCATTTCTCCTGGAAACGCCATCAATATCAAACATTTAGCTGTTCTATAAATTGAACTTGAGTCTGTCGATCGTTGTTTGCAAGCACACAGAAACAGAATAACAACTACAAAAGCTTTTAGTCGATGCCGATAGGCTGAACAAGTAGTCTATCGTGTTTTGGATCAAATCAATACAGGATAATGTGAGGCCCATCGTTGTTCGGGCGATAGAAATAAGACCGTTATTTCCGAAGTTGTGCAGCCGTTTCTTTTTCAGTTTTTTTCATCCATAGACTCGTATCCAGATATATGATTTTGTCAATAAAAATCAGGGCGAGATGGCCCAAGTGGTCAGAGCACGAATTTACTGACCGGAAAGTCCGCGGTTCGAACCCGACCTCTGCCACTCGACTTCCCCTGTCTAGGCTTGGGCAACCTGGCATTATCCCAGCCCGCGTGCTTCCTTCGGGTGGCATGGCAGTGAGGCACCGATAGGGTGCTACAGCTGAACGATTTATTTTATTCAATGAGGATCAGCCCTATTCATTACTTGTTATGCGCTATGGGGCTGAACACCTCTGTTCTGGGACACTGGATTTCGTTCGTTCACGACATATAGAATATGTTATTTCGATATCTATGCGGGGTCATTTGGAATATTTATTGATTTAGCGAACGGTATGTAGTAACAGACGATAAGTCCTTCAACACTCATGCACAGATGGGAAAGTAGGACCCGGGAAGTTAGGTGCTGTTTTGCAACACCTTCCTGGATGATATTGACGTGACCGCATACATCCACATTGTTTCCATTCTGGCACTTTTCGTTCATTCCAGCCTACACATTTAGCAGTTCGCATCACTGCTGATAATTTCCAGTAAGGTCTGTGCTACGGAAAACTTTGCTGCAAACATCCAGCTTTTACTTTCCACATTGTTCCAGCCTGTTATACTTATTGTTTCGTCAGTTCGATTTGCCTAAACTAGAAGAAGAAATGCGCAACGTGGCGTAATAAAGACTGAGCGAGATGGCAGGTCC